ATAGGGCGTGTGCACTCACCAGAAAGACAGAGAGAGACAGAGAGACAGAAAGCAAGAAATCACCCCCCAGGAGGTATGGCCACGCTGCAATCCCTTCTCTTTCATTCTCCTCTCAGGATCTTGGGCACGCATACACACGTGCCCGGCGTGAGTTTAAGCCACTAGGTCCAGGACTCGAACTGCAGTTGACTACATGGGAGTCCAGCGACATAGTCATTACGCTAACTGCTGGTCCCCACACCGTCCTTTTCACGCCAACAGTGAGTAAGAGCAGACACCCGCTCCTAAGCCTGGCTGAGGTCTGCAAAACCATTTTGGGCCGAGCCTGTTTATTTTTAGAGAAAGAATACTAAATGCTTTGCCTGGACTCATAACTGTCTCTCGCAGGGTGCTCTGAGAACTCACATGCTCACTGTCTGTCCTGCACTCACAGGTTGCAGTCCTGAGAACTTACGCTCGCTGTCCTCCCGTGCTCACAGGCCAGCCCAATGCAACTCATGGAGAGACAAGTCAATCAGTCAGCACAGGATGTCACCACGGGTGAAGGCTGTGATGGGTCTGGGGTCACTGGGACCCAGGGAACAGAGCTGGACAGGAGCCTGAGTGAACAAGTGAGTACCGCCTGTCGTGTCCAAAGCCAGCTGAACAAGTCTCACCAAGCTTAGGGAGTTTGGTCTGTGACAAAACTGGAATGCGGGCCAGCAGGTGGTATAATGGTTAAGATACTGGATTCTCGCATCGATGACAGTGGTTCCAGTCCCAGACCCAGCAGCTTGAAAACCACGTTGGGTGTGTGTGCATGTGCCCAAAATCCAGAGAGAAGGAGGGATTGCAGTGTGGCCATTTCTCCCTGGGAAGGGAAGATTTCTCACTTTCCCTCTCTGTCTCACTTTATGTCTCTCTAGCAAGTGTATTTGCTTTATGGCAAAAACTTAAACAAACAAACAAAAGCCTTTTCCGATCTAAGAAAGAAAGAAAGAAAGAAAGAAAGAAAGAAAGAAAGAAAGAAAGAAAGAAACCTGCAATGCAAGAAACAAACAGGAAACGACACATGCCAGTCACTCCAGATCACCCGAGTGGCGTAGGAGAGACTGCTGCTTTTGGGTCCCATTGTGGGCCTGCGTCTGTGTCCCCTGGGCCCTGGCCTGAACATCTTCTCCTTGGTCCTGGGACGCCCATGCTGGTTCTCTCTCGGTCTCTGTCCTAGGCCACGGTTGTTCCTCCCCCAAGCTTCTTGTGGCTGCTCTTCCTGGTCAAGTGGACCTCAGCTTATTATGTATTTTAAGTTTATTTATTATCTCTTTCATGAAAGAGAGACAGACAGGTAAAGAGAGATACAGGCAACCCCCAATAGAGCTCATACAAGATCAAACCTAGCCATATTCTGCCCAGATCATGGCATGCAAGCGTCAGCATGTACAGGCAGGGCCCTGGACATGAGCCCAGGACTCCCATGTGGGTCCCACATCACAAAGCCTTCTGTTACCACCATACCAACCAATATGGCTGGTCTTTTCATTAAATTTATTTAGTTAGTTCTTCCATGAGAGAAAAAAGAAACTTGCGGGGGAGGGGACTCAGCATAAATATTCCCTGCTCAGGAAGGCTTTCCCTAATTATTCAATCTAATATGACCACACAGCCATACTCTACCATGTGTCTAGGGACTATTTGCAACTACAACATACTCTTAGTCTGTCCTGACAGATACAAAGGCACCGATGAAAACTTGTTGGATTACTATACAAGAAAAGCCTGAATCTTCCCCAGAATGGTAATCACACTTCATGGGATTAGGGGTAGAGAGAGATGATGATAAAGGACACATAACTTAGCAATGGGGGCCTGAGATGTTAGTGTGTAGCCTTGGGGTTTGCTTTGTACATGGGGAGTGCACAAGTGTGTGTATACTCCAAAATCCCACAGGATGGATGTCATTTTATATTGTCTTCCTTATAAAGACCAATGTCTTGTACTGACTGGCCACACAGACTTTGAGCAGGCAGGCCCCACAAGGAGCCACTGCAAGAAGGTCACTGCTGTTGCCCAGTGGGCTCGTCTGAACCCCCAACGCACGCACTATGTCCACACACAGCAGGTGCGAGGCACACAGAACATGCAAAGAATCTGCTGAAGGAATCAACAAATGAAAATATCAGATTTTCTTTTTTTTTTAGAATTATTTATTTTATTATTATTATTATTATTATTATACTTCAATTTGACCGAGAGAAAGAAAGAGGGAGAGAGTGAAAAAGCAAACCACCAGGACTAGAACCACGGTGGGCCATGTGGGAGGAGTCCAGCTCCTTAACCACCACTCCACCTCTGGCCCTAAATATCAGATTTTCAAAACAATGTGTTCAAAGACTCTGTTTCACCTATCGTTTACTCTCCTAAGTGTACTGAGACCAGAGGCTGAGCGGACTGGCTGACTTTCATCCCTATAGTGTGGGTTTATTCAGCTCACGTCCCTGGTAACTTTTCCTGGGATGACAGAACACCTCCAGAACTGAATTGTGCTCCCTGATACTCAGACACCCCTGCCCCAGGGCTGGACACAACCACACAGGACTGGGCTGAATGCCTCCCCTGTACTTTAGCATTCGTGATGTTTGCTTCAAAAGACCAGGTTCCTGGGACCAGCAGATGGCACAATGGTTAAAGTGCTGGACTCCCACATGACGGGCCATGGTTCAAGTCCCAGACCTGGTGGCTTGCTCTCTCACTTTCCCTCTCTGTTTCTCATCAAATAAAATTAATTAAGAATTAATAATATTAAGAAAAAAAAAAAAGGACCAGGTTTCTTTGATGGAAATCTAAGGAGAAAAGGATCCTGCCCAAGAATTAATAATATTAAGAGAAAAAAAAAAAAAGGACCAGGTTCCTTTGATGGAAATCTAAGGAGAAAAGGAGCCAGGCCTCCTTGCAAACTGGCTAATCCTGCCCATCAGCAGCTCCAGCAGAGGCGTCTGGTGCTATTGGCAGCCCACCGCCAGCAGAAGGGAAGGCCCAGGTTGCCCTGCCAGGTGGGAGCTGAGAGCCACCCGGGATGCATGGTACCTGTAGGTGATCCTCACTTCGGTTCCAGGCTCGTCACGCTCCCAGATCAAAGCGATGCTCTCGGGGGCCTTCTGAACATGCTGGTCCAAGCAGTTGACTGCACAAAAAGAGGTTTGCAAATGTTATACTTGGTGCTCGTGAAGCGAATCGGGCGGGGTGTGGGGTGTTTGCTGTGGCTTGCTCTACTCTCACAGAGGGTGGGAAGGACCCGGCCATCACCAATGCTGAGGATTCTACCTCCTTGCAAGGAGAAGGGGCATGGGGACATCAGAGTTGTGGAAACAAGGTGATCACTACATGAACATGGTCCCAAAGCTACCAGGTGACCACCCAACATGATCTCGAAGGTGCAGGACAACACTTGAACATGACCCCAAATGTGCAAGACCATCACAGCAGCATGACTTCAAAGGTACAAGGCAACCACCCAAATGTGACCCAAAATGTGCAAGCGATGACCCCAAAGGTGCAAGGCCGTCACCCCAACATGACCACAAAAGAGCAAAGCAATCGCCCACAGATATCCTGCAGCAACCGTGTCACACCAGTTGTCCCACAGGGCCACCCTACCCAGTGGGCCAGGGGCTGGACTTCACAGCTTTCCAAGCCTGCTGGCTGGTGCTCGGGCACAGCAGGGCTGGGTGGTGCAGCCCGAGCCACTGGAGAGAAGCCTCACTGCCAACGGGATGCTCCTGTCTCAGCACATGGCTCACACAGGCAGCTCCCATGTTCTGGTGTCAGTGGCCTCCACCAGGCAGAGGTGCGAGCCAGGATGAGGACTCAAATACTCTCTCGGGTGTCCCATGCGTTTCCAACCTCTGCTTCAAGAAGTGACTCAACAGTGGGGACCAACTGACTGACCCGCAGGCCGTCCAGTCATCCCTGCTCTCCTGCGCCATGTCTGGCTCTTCCAGCACCACGACTCTGAAGAACGGGGTTCACAGCTCCGACTGGCAGAGACTCACCGGCGGGAAGGTCTCCCAGGCCGCTGCAGACTTAAACAATTCTGTCTGCAGAATGCCCGTGACCCCTTGCTGACTAGAATGTCTTCAAGTACATATCCCTCCAGAAAGTTTGTTCTTTTTTTTGGTAGTAAAATGAATCTTTTCAAAGGTTTCCCAAGCCACTTCTCATGAACCAGTGAATATTCACAAAGCTAAATCGGAGGCCTACACAAGATTTCCCTGTAACACACGTGCCATAATACACAGGCCTACTCTGGCCGGTCCTTAACAGCTACCTCTCTGAATTTTCATAAATTTCTATTTCAAAAGGAAAATTAATTTATATACACTGGCATCAACATACAACAAAATACTTGTATAAAAGTTAAAAAAAAAAAAAGAAGAAGAAGACGAAGAAGTGACTCAACAGTGGGGAAATGCCATCCTGGCTTTCTGGAAGGCTCTTCAGCCCTCCCCCACGATTACCCAAGCTCAGATCACATGACTTGCCTGCAAAAACAGGTCAGTTCTGCCAGTTTACTGGAAACGGAGGATTAGGGGACTCGTGTTCATTTGCTTTCAAAGATTAGCTTAACTCTGCTGGCTAACAAGGAGCTGAGGAGCTCAAAGCCAAGTTCTCAGTACTCAGCTTCCCACCAACCCAGGCCCCTCCCCAGGTCTGCCGGTCCCGAGCAGCATGAAGAGCTCAGGGAACAGTGACCAGTGGCTCACCTGGCCACTAGGGTCACCCAGAGCCTGAGTGCACAGTATACCTCAAAGAGGAACAGACAAAGGTAGATGCCGAGGGGCAAAACTACCAGTATTGCAGGGGGGGGGATGTTCTGTGAACTAGTACACTAGTAGAGAAGAAACCACATATAGATAGATAGATAGATAGATAGATAGATAGATAGATAGATAGATGATTGATAGATAGATAGATAGATAGATAGATAGATAGATGCAGAAGAACTGAGAAGGTGCTCCATGGGAGACCTACATGATTCACACAACTGATCAACATCAGGGCGGGTGTGTGTGTGTGTGTGTATGTGTGCACACACATACATACCCATGTTCACAGCGAGACCACACTACACTATGCTCTACATAGTCACACCAAGGACACCCTTAGTCCCACATGAAGCACCCACCCGACCAAGGTTTTTCGGAGCTTTAGCAGCCATCAGGATTACTCAGGAGCACCAAGAGCCCAGGAGCACCAGGGTCACTCAGGTATATCCAGAAGCACCATTGTCACTCAGGGGAACCAGGAGCACTTAGGATCACCCAGTAGCACTCAGAGTGACCAGGAGCACTAGAAGCACCCAGGAGCACTGAGATCACTCGGGAGCATTGAGGAGCACCAAGATCACTCAGGAGTACCCAGGAACCCTGAGATCACTCAGGAGCACCCAGCAGCACTGAGATCACTCAGGAGTACCCAGGAACACTGAGATCACTCAGGAGCACCCAGGAGCACCGAGATCGCTCGGGAGCACCGAGATCATTCAGGAGCATCGGGATCACTCAGTAGCACCCAGGAGTACCAAGATCACTCAGGAGCACCCAGGAGCACCGAGATCGCTCAGGAGCACCGGGATCACTCAGGAGCACTGGGATCACTCAGGAGCACCCAGGAGCACTGACACCGAGATCACTCAGGAGCACCGGGATCACTCAGGAGCACTGGGATCACTCAGGAGCACCCAGGAGTACCAAGATCACTCAGGAGCATCCAGGAGCACTGAGATCACTCGGGAGCATCAGGATCACTCAGGAGCACCGAGATCACTCAGGAGCACCCAGGAGTACCAGGATCACTCAGGAGCACTGGGCGCACCCAGGATCTGAGACCTCAGCCACACCAAGCAGGCTGCAGGGAAGTCTCTTTGTTTTAGCACAAAGTACTTTACAAGTTAAAAACACTAGAATTTCCATTTCACCCCCTGAAAACCCTACCCCTTTCCCCAAATAAGCATTTGGACGTTTAGGAGCGCAGGGGAAGGGTGTGTAACCTGACCTGTTTCACTCAGCCAGCCTCCTGGACACATCTGGGATCCAGGCACCAGGAAAATGCAAGCACAGGTACTCAGCCCCAGCCCAGGAGTGCAGGAGACACACACACTAGAAACGTGCAAAAGACAAAACACAGGGCAGGCTGGCAGGCGCCATGACGTCTGTCCAAACGGGACAACCCAGCTGAATCCATCCAGAAAGGACAAATCTAAGGCCAGTGAATGCAGCCTGCGGCCAGAACAACAGGAAGACATACAGACAGTGCCCTCATGGGCAGAAGAAGGGGCTACAAGAACCTCCCACTACTGACAGGGAAACAGAGGCACAGAGAGTAGGCCACCCAAGGTCACACAAAGGTGGGTCCAATGCAGACGTTCTAGCTCCCAAGTTCACCTGCTACCCTGCCCCAGAGCCCAGCTCTGTGCAGCACGTGGAAGAGTGGAAAGGGGAGGAGCTTTGAACCAGGCTGACTTCACAGACAGGAGAGACTCAGAACAGTGAGAAGGGGGCAGGCCAAGTGAGGTTGGGGTAACAAGTCAACCTTAAAGGAGGTGGGAAAACAATGAGGCTTTGGGGGAGGAAGGCAGTATGCTAATTTGGCAAGTATTAGCCAACTGGCCACAGGCCGAGTCATCTTACAGATGTGCTGCTTCCCTGGCACGCGTGTGCATGCATGTGTGTGTCTTGATCCAGTCCACTCTGAAAATCAAGCTTTCACACTAACCCTGTAGATTGCTGGCTTGAGCAATTGATCAGCAGGTTACCTGTCCAGAAAGACCCAGCTGAGCATGGGCCTGCAAACCTTGAAGGAAAGGTAAGAAAGAGGGCAGGAAGCCAGCTGCTCACCCCATCCTGGCCTTCAGCCCCAGCTGCCTGGCCCTCTGCTGGGAGCTATTGCAAATGCAAATCATAGCCCTGCAACCCTGCTGGGCTCCCACCAGCCTGGCAAGAAGCTCCCAGGAGCCTTGGCTGCTTCTCTGGAAGGGTCTGCTCTGTCACAGGCTCCCCACTCTGATGGTAATGCTGAGGAGTGGCTTTCAGTGAAGCTAGGGAGCAGCTTGAGCCATCTGGCCCCCCAAAGCCTAGGGGGAAGCAGCAGGCTAGGCTCAGCTGGCACACACCCCAGGGTCCACCTTCCTATGTTGCCACTCCCTGGACAGCCAGGACATTCTCACTGCAGTGACCCCTGGCTTCAAGCCAAGACCCTCACAGCCTCAGAGCCCAGCAGGGCAAGAAGGCAGAGCTGAGGACAGTGGAGCAGAAGGCCTGCTATAGGGCGGACTGCACCCCAGGTGCAGCGGCGTGGCAAACAAGATCTGCCGTGTGTCAGTCTCTTCCCAGGGCTTCTGTATGGCACGAGTCAGGCAGGTCAGAACTGAGCCCAGGCGCACTGTCCCTGGGTACCCTGCCTACACAGGGAAGGTGCTTCACAAGTAGCCACCACGGCCCACTGGTCTGCTACTCCCCACCAGCTCCTGTCCCAGGGGCTTTGCACTTGTTCCCCTGTCTGGGATGTTGTCATCTTCCCACCCCTGCTGTAGTCTCACCTCTCATCACACACCCCCCTTTCCTCGGACTCTACCTCCCTCTAATCCAGCTCACTGCACTCCTTTGGTCAGGGGCCAGATGTCCCGTCCATGTGTGCAGACATGGACCTAACCCAGAGCACAGAGCCAAGGAAGCACCATGGCTCCAGCCATCCAAGTCCTTCAGGTGGGTTCTAACTGCCCAGGGGAGGGAACAGCCCTCTTCTTGTCTCAAGTAAAAGGTCTCTTTCCTGGCCTGCAAGGCACTTCTCAACCTGGAGTGGCATCAGCATCCCCAGGGGATGGGACCAGCAGTTGGTGCAATGGCTATGCTACTGGATTCCCATGTAGTCGACCGTGGTTCAAGTCCCGGACCTGGTAGCTTAAACACTTGTGTATGTGTGCCCAAGATCCTGAGACGAGAATGGAAGAGAAGGGATTGCAGCATGGCCATCCCCCCGGAGTTGATTTCTCGCTTTCTGTGCCTCTCTGTCTTTCTGGCAAGTGCACGCACCCTATAGCAAAAACTTCTCCAAAAAAATAATAATAGTAATACTACAGAATTCGCAGGGGGCTTGCTGACAGCCGGGGCTGTGCCCTGCCCTAGG